TCCATTTACTCGGAGCCAAGCTGCACTAAAAGCCTCCAATACAGGAACACAATGTTGCCAGCCAACCAAGACAAAAAAAAAAGCCACAAAACAGACAGAAGATATTAGAAACACCAATCAAGCAGAACACAGCAAACTCCAAGACCAATAAACACAGACCAAGACTCCCAACCAATCAGGATGAAGAAAAAACCATTCTGTCATAGCAGTAGGCTAGCCCCAAATTTAAAACTGAAACAACTGTAAAAGTCTGACTCACAGACGAACACAACACAGAAGCCTGATGATGGCAGATGAGATTCTGCCGAAACGTTGCTACAACTTTAAAAGCACAACTATAATGACGTGGGAAAATACCCGAACAAAGCTGAATACCATTCATATATATACATATATATACATATATATACATATATATACATATATACATATATACATATATACATATATACATATACACATATACACATATACACACACACACATATATATATATATATCTATATCTATATCTATATCTATATCTATATCTATCTATCTATCTATCCATCCATCCATCCTTGGTTATTCGGGTTTTCTCCCGCGTAAAATTGGAAGTATCTAGGCAACGTTTCAGGCTTGTGTCTTCGGCTCTGTCTTCCTCCCCTTTCTGCATCTTCTTTCTGTTTTTTAAGACTCATCTTCAATTCCTCCAGGAGTGATGCCATTTTAAACACTTTTGAACAACCACCCGATTGACTTTAAGTAAAAACAGAAAAAGAAAGAAAAAACCAATGATCCCAGGCTGTTCCTTCTTGTTTCTTTCCTTTCCTTTTCCTTTCCGTGGGTTACTGTATCTTTTAATAAGATTTCAGTTACAATGTATCCTCGGGAGTCTTTTCAAAGTTTCGCTGTTAATCCTCTTTATTTTTCCTGGTGGCACTCCATTTTTTCATTATTCCAAGTTCCACCCTTGCCTCTACTCTTCTCGTTTTTAGAGCTTTAAAATGACCAAAGAAAAAATCTTTATTCTCCTTTTGACACTTAGATTTCAGCTTAAAGTTGCCTATTAGTGTCAAAATAAATTAATATAAATTTCTTTCCATACCATTTGTAATTGTCAATATAAAGGTTAAAAATGGGTTTTTAACCTCCTTTTCTCTCTCCTTCGCCACTTAAAGATCTTCTTTCAGAAGTATCCCTCTAAGTACTTTTAGATTCAGGATACCTTGCTTAGATGTTCTCTGTTGTTTAGCCCGGTCTGTCCTGCTTTCCTATTTGTCTTCCTCCTGCACAATCTTATCCAATTGGGTTCTTCTTTGAGGTGGCCATTTCTGACCACCACTGCAACTGCCTTCGGGAAAGAGAGTTTAGACCAGCCAAGGAGGAGAGATGCGGCTCCCCTCCACTCAGCTAGCAATCTCCCCCCTCTTCACCACCTCTACGGGGTAGCTTCAGCCCTGAATCCAAAAGATCGGGGCGCTCCAGCGGCAAGCACAGATCAAAACCGTGCACGATCGCGGATTTCGGTGTGTCGCTGAAGAAACCCAAACCGGAAGCCTGCATTTTTTATTTTTATTTTTTAGGATTTTGTTGATTAGCAATGAAATGAAGAAATAAAATAGCTAAGTAACAATTTGCAAAATCTGAAGGGTTCCACTTCCATATACTTAACTGAAAAATATTTTTTTATGTCACAGACTATCATAGAGCTTTCTGAAGAACGAGATTCTCTTCATTTTCTACCTCATGCATCAGCAGCACAATCACCTTGTGGATCTCCAGGAATGAAATGCACTGAAAGCAGACAACACTTATCAGTAGAATTAGCAGATGCCAAAGCAAAGATTAGAAGGCTTAGACAAGAGCTGTAAGTACATAGTAATAAAAAATAATTATTAGAACTAGTAAACATCAAGAGTCCCCAAGGACAGTTGCCCACCTGCAAGGAAGCATTTGTTCCTTGGACCTAGCAAGTAGGTTTTTTTCAGCTTGGATTGGTATGAATCATTTATTAATTTACTATTAGAGTTTTCTAAGGTCTTAATAAAACCATCAAGCTGCAACAGATGAATTTTTTCCTTTAGAAACAGAATTAGTATGCTTGGCTTTTTGAACCTTCTACATTTGTAATAGTTAAAATATAAAATTTAGTCTGAAATAAATTTAAATTATGAGGAACTGGGAACAAGCAGTCCTCTATTTACAACCATAATTGAGTCCAGAATAAATCATTGCAGTCATAACTCCAGCTTGATTTTTACCACTGCTTTTACAATGGTCTGTGGTTGTAAGTCAGAATTCAGTTTATCCAGTGGGTATTTTTGTTGGAAAGTGACAAAAAGAGTTTCAAAATGCGATCACATTGACCATAGGTCATTGTAACTAGTCAGTTGCCAAGGGCCCAAGATGAAATCACATGGTTGTGCTGATGGTGTAACTTAAGACATGTAATAATTAGAGCTTTGAACAGTCATTAAGGATGGGCATAAGTTGTGAGCTATCCATAAACTATCATTGACAAAGAGTACATTCATTGCCTTAAACTTCTTTTAAAATAAAAACACAGGAGATTATTGTTAAATATTACCAAATTTAAGAAGTTTTAAATGCATGTTTTGTAAACAATTTGTTTATAATCTTACTCATGTATACTCATGTACATAAATTATACTCATGTATAATTACATGTATTATCAGTATACCTATTAATTTTAATTGGAAGCACTGTAGCTGAACATTTTAAAAAAGACTTAAAATGTAAGTATTCTGTGAAATGAATAAAATTAAGAATGTGATGAAATGATATAGAATGAGGTTGAAAGAAGATAATTCCAGAAGGATTATTTTAATATTTGTATTGAAAAGATAGTTTTATGTTAAAGAGTGGAATTAAATAATTCCTTTCCAAGAAAAGGAAAAGCATTTATTACTGTCAGAATGTTAAAAATAGTAAGGCTGTGGCTGTTGAAGGTGTGACTGGAGAAACATTAAAACATGGATGCTGTTTGCTTATGAAATAGTTCTGTGCTAAATAGGTAGAAGATATATTATTCTTTATTGAGATAACTTGCAAATAAAGAATATAAAAATATAGATAATAATAGCTAGTGAGAACAGAAATACTAGATACAAAAATAAAAGGCTGGGATTAAGAGAACAACTATGTAGAATAAAGTATAAATGTATAAATAAGAAATAAAATAATGGAAATAGACATAGAACTTAGCTCTAATGATAATTAGAAAAGCCATAACAACATTAGTAAAATAAATCCTTTTTTTGTAAAATCAAACTGCCCCACAAAAGGAATAAAATTGTTTGTTTGCGGTCTGTGTCACTGATAAAAATACATATGACAATAAGGATGTGTGATATCTCTTTTGATATGTCAACTTTAGAGGTGTGTTGACTGGGAATATGAATATAGGTGTACTTTTATATGCAGTTGATGCTGTGCTGTTTACTGTGATCCCAGATGATTTGCAGTAAACAATAAATGTGGAGTTTAGAATGTTGACTTGAAAATTAGCATATTGAACACCAAGATTTGATATGGAAAATGAAGTGGACAGTTCTAAATTGTACATAAATGGTTAAAAAACAGAACATGTAATTGAATTAATGCACTTTGTGTGGTCTCTCTTACTAGTTAGTAACTGTTTTAGATTAAGCAAATGCCTATAAGCAAGAAGAGGCCTACCACCCAAGTATGTGTATGTTTGTTGTAAAATACATATGTGCTCACTCCCTTTTAGAGACTTTGGGTTTCTTATGGATTACTACTGTATAAGCATGCATTTAATCTCAAAAGGTTAAAATAGCTTAGAAGTAGATCTGAGGGAACAGATTTTAAAAGCATTTGTATTATAAATGTAAAGTAAAAATAGGTATAATTTTTTTCTATCTATAACTGAACATCTATGCACATTCAGTACTTTCTCCCCCTCCCCTGGTACTTTTTGTTTGTCTGCTTATTAGGTGGTACTCCTAGTGTGGGTATAGGCAAAAAAAACACCTATGTAGGTTCTCATCAGTAAGCTCAGATTTCAGAAAGCTAAACTTTCCAAGTAAAATGATATTGTTTAATATCACATGTTCTAGTTAAAATTGTATTGTGTTTTGCCAATGGAATTATTTACAAATGCATGCCAACTAAGCAGAAAATGTTAGAGCCCTTGTTGAGGATACCTACTCAGTCTTCTGCATAACTCTCTATAGATTTTTTTTCTTTTTACGACTCATCTAATCCATTTTATCAGGGTGGAGTCGGGGTGACTGAATGGAGCTGAGCATTTGCCAGCCCGATGCTCTTCCTGACACTATGTGGAGTTTGCAGCATATATTTTCTCTTTGCGCCCTGGTAAAGAAATATCTGTCCCTGCCTAGGATTAAACTCTCAACCCTTCCAAGTGGGAGGCGAGCTTCTTCATCACTAGGCCACCTTGCCATTCAATAGCTTTGTATAGATATAACAATATATTTGTATACTATCAAAACACAGTACTTTTTTTAAAAAGTAATTTTGGAAAAAATAGATATATAGTACATAACTTGATAAAAGGGTATTTATGTTTTCAATAAATTTTAACCTGAGTTGAGTCACAGCTGTGCTACAATTATATAACTTCCAGTTTTCTTTTCTCATGAGTTCCAAGAGCTATAGACATGTTTGCCATTAATAGTGGGAGAGTGTGCTTTTGTACCAGTGCCTAAGGTTATTCATTGGTTATAAATGGTGCTGATGTCCATATCAGTAAAATTCCTGAAGAGTCTGCAATTCCCACAAATACTTGCTTGTACAGTAGCTTTTTAAATATAATCCAAGACTATAAGTTTCATGATTGTCAAAGTTGTATCCTAACTGTGATTTGATAAAGCAATGTATATTGAGGTTTCTAAATCTGTGGCTAATTAATTACACAGTGATGTGAAATAGGAGTTTAACATAGAAGTTTCAGAATCATTGTTAAATCCAGTCTAGCAATGAAATGAGTTTAAGATTGCCACCTGTTCTCTGCCTGAAGGGCCAGTTTCTAATCCTTAGCTGCAATTGTGCATGTGAAATGCTTTAAACATTAGATAAATGCTGCAAAGTTTATGGCTAATTAAGCCATTATGGTGCTTGCTCAATAAATAATACAGCAGGGATGAAGAGTCTTAACATATGCTTGTCCTCTAGTACTAAGGTCAAATTTTCTATATTTGTTCTGGACACAGAATGGCTCGGTAATTTTATGGTAATAAGGTTTTTCTGTTGTAATTTCCTGTCAGAATTTGATGCTAAGAAACATTTCTAGGCCCCTTGAAAGCTGTTCCTTAGGTACATTTTATTATTTCACTTTGAATATTATTTGACGTGTTTCATTATTAGAATTGTATTGAACTGCAGTATGGTAGGCTGAGCTTCAAATATTGTTTTGAGAGAGAGAGGAGCATGAAATGGGAACATTTATATTCAGAGCCAGCCCCTCCATCTCTTACCCCCCTACATACACACACACATACAGACAAAGACCAACAGATTTACAAGAGAGTTTCAACTGGATCATCTAAAATGGGCAAAGTATATTATTATCTCTATTTAATTACTTTTTTATTTGAACAAAATACAAAGCTTTAAAAACTTAGTCATGGTGAGTACAAAAATACAAAAAAAAAGACCATTTTTGATGACTCAGATATTGGGTGTCTGTTGAAATGAGCCTAGCCAAGATATTCTATAAACAGCTGTACTAGGGAAGTTAATGCAAATTGCTGTTATTAATTTGACTGACATGTAATAGCCTAAATAGTGAACATTGGTGTAGAATGTATAATTAAAAGCAATCCCATTACACTTAATTGAATAGCTCATTGGAAGTGTATATATTTCTGAGAATATTTTTACATTTTACCAATATGTTTTATTTATTTACAAATAACATTTTTGCCTATAAAATGCTAATATCTTTTAATGATTGTCAGTACTATCCGATGTGCTGGTATGCTAAAGTAATTCCCATTAGTTCTGTACATTTTAAATAACATTGCATTTAAATTGGATACAAAGCATGGTGGTTAAGTAAATATTTATGAGAAGCTGTGGTTTGACATAAGAACTGTCATTATTTAAAACAGGCCCTATATTGAAAAGTTCATTAGCTCCAGCTTTGATATTATGTATAAAATACATGCTGTGCAATAGATGCATACATATAAAATGGTTGAATATTTTTATGTTTGGAACTTATATTTTTGTAATTTGAAAATGAAATAAACATTTTTGACTGAATATTTCTATAATTTCTGATTTAAATAGGATGTCTTGCAGATAAACATGTTTGCTGTTATGAACATATTTCAGTTAACTTGATGAAAAGCAAACATATATTAACCTATTGGAATTCAGCTTTAATAATCTGATTCCTTTGGGGATGACAGTGAAGAATAATCCCACTGTCCAGTTTAAGCTTCTCAGAAAGAAAAATATGAGTGATAAAATAATATTCTCTTGGGAAAAAAATGAGTTTCCCTTAACCTGAAGATTGTACTGTAGGTTTCTGTTTTAGAGAAATAATACAAATTCTTATCCATATGTTGTCTGTTCTGCATTCTACCTTCACATATGAAATACTGCTGTTTGTGCCATATTATATTCTTTCTGGAAAAATTCTCAGGTGATTTTGTGGAGAGAAGGATTGAAGTGGATTGATAATATGATGTCTTGGTTTATATGAAAGAAATGTCAGATTATACAACATCTATCTGTTGTATTCAATAAATATTAAAAGCTATGCCTATTTAATCTCTTTGCTGACAGATTTAATTCACAATGGAAATAAAAATAGATGATTTCCTCTGCTTTTTCAGCTACCCACCTACCTACCTTTGTCTTATATACAGGGAAGAAATGAGAGTTCATGAATGGAAGTTAATTGGCTTGATTTTGGACTTGACTTGACCACTTTAATGTCAGATTACTCTAAAAATATTTGGATAATGTTTGTCTTCTCCATGATAAGTTATACACGGAAAGCTGTGATAACAAAAAGTGCTAATGATGTTTTTCATTCAGTAATTGTCAGACTCTTGGTGATTCCGTGGGCCAGGTCTCTCCATGTCTTTCGATCTTGCACTTCTTTGAGTTTTTCTATGATCTGGCTGGTGTCAGCTTTGATGGTGTTCACCCAGCTTATTCTTTGACGGCCTGGTTTCCTCTTACTGCTATCTCTTCCAAACATATTTGCTTTGTCTAGTGAATTCCTCCTCATGACATGGCCAAAGTAAGACAGATGCCAAAGAAATCTCTCCACAAATATTAAGAGATTCATTTTTGAGATTTTGCCTTCCAGTGGTAGGTTCGGTGTTATGTACTCCAGTACTTGCTTGGTCATCTTTCTCATTTCAGTACTTGCTTGTTAGTTACCAAGAAATATGCAGGAACCTTCTCCAGCACCACAGCTCAAACAAGTCAATTTTCTTCTTGTCTTGCTTTTTTAAGACCCAACTTTCACAACCATAGCTACGAGGAACACAATAGAGCAGACTAACCTACATTTAGTTGCTGATGTCCTTGCTTTTCCATATTCAGCTACATTTATCATTGCTATATGACCCAGTGCAATCTGACATTTTATTTTGAGATTGTATTCACTGCTTTGAGTGATCTGCAATCCTAGGAAAGTGAATTCTTCCATGCATTCTATCTCTTCAGTGTCAGTTTCTATTGTCATGTTTCCATTCCTTGCTGTGGTCATCAGCTTGGTCTTCTTGATGTTCAGAAAGAGACTAAAAATCTCACTTTCTTCTTTGATTTTCTTGATCAGATGTTTTAGGCCTTCTTTGGTTTCTGAGAGGAGTGTTGTATCATGAGCATATTGAACATTGCTGATGTTTCTTCCACAACTTATATCCCGATTTTTATTCAAGATCTAGCTTCCTCATGATCACTTTGGCACACAGATTAAATAAGAAAGGGAGATAATGCAACCTTGACACATCACTTTCTCTATCTTAAACTATTCAGGGTTTTCATATGGTGTTCACACTGTGTCTTCCTGATTTGAGTATCCTGAGTGCACCAACTTGACCAGATGTGCTGGTACCCTCATGTCCTGTAGGGCTCTCCATGGCTTCTCATGATCAACACAATCAAAGGCTTTCTTGTAATTGATGTAACAAATGTAAATGATCTTTTGATATTCACAAGATTTCTTCTGTAATCTGCAAATCTTCTATTGTGCAGATTTGCAATATGACTGCGGGTGCCATGACCCTTTTGGAAGCCAGCTTGGAAATATGGCAATTCCCTTTTGATGGTTCATACTAGACCTTGTTCTATTTTAAACAAAATCCTGCTGATGTGAGGGATGAGAGCAATTATGCAATAATTGGAACAATCCTTAGAATCACCCATTTTCAGCAGTAGAATAAACACTGAGGATTTCCAATCCTGTGGCCATGTGTTGATTTCCCAAATTTTCTGGCACAGGTGTCTAATGACTGTGAATGATATAGCAATGGTGTCAACAATTGGAATCTTGTGGTTTGGCAGTTGGCTCATTGCCCATCTGATTTCTTCCTCAGAGATGGTCGGTTCTATTTCAACTTCTCTTTCCCCATCATATCAAAGTACAAAGGGGCTTTCTGAACCCTCCACAACTGTTCCCAATCACTCTTTCTCAAATTTCTTTTAAGGAGCCTTAAATGAAAGACACAAGGAGTTTGCACAAACTTTATATGTTTATATGTTTCATTTCGCACTAATCCCCCATGTCAGAACTTTGTTGATTCACTTCAGGCTTTATGAGGGAAAATGGAAAGCTTTAGAAGAGAGGGAGTTGAGAAAAATCCATTGCATAAGCAGCTTTTTTTAAGGTACTACGAGTGTCCTTTGTTTTATCTAATTTACAATTTCAGAGTCTTCTAATGCTTCACTGATATCAAACAATGATAATAAAGAATGGTTATTATAAAATATTTTCTGTTTTGATATTAATGTTTCAAAACTGAAACTATGTATATATTATTTTAAATCTTGTATGCCATAATCATTTTAGAATATGTGACCTGTCTGGTACTGAACTGTAGAATTAGGAATATGCAAAAGTTGTCCATATCAAACTACTTCCAAGTCTTGCTTTTCTGTAAACTGTCAAATCCCAGTAAAAGCATAGAAGAGGAGGAAGTGCAGGATGGTCTAAACTAGAGCAGTGATGGTCCACCAACCTCCAGTTGGTGGACCATCACTGGGTCATGACATGCCAGAAACAGGGTCACACACACAAGCAAAGCCCTGTCTGTGGGATGCAGGCAGCACACAAAACTATGCGCCCTCTGGTCCACATAAAAACCTCTCTCCATGGAACCAATCCCTGATGCCCAAGATCATACCTCTACTGCACTAGAGTGAAATGAAGTGTCCCAGACTTCTCCAGAGCAGTCCATTCCCACATTAATTAATTTTACACACTCCTTGTTGAATATTTAATTAAATAATTATTAAATACGGGAGTAAATGTGAAACTGGATCCAACAATAATACTAAATTGCTACAAGATTTGTAAGCTAATATTAACTATTATTGTATAATTGGAAGGCGAAGAAGAATGTCTTAATATGGAGAAAATATTGCTTTTGAAGGACTCAAAAATTACTTATCTATTACTCAAATTAATCAAAGCCAGAATCCATAATGAAGTTCTATATAACTGTTTTTTCCAAGGCAGAAAATTGACTCACTTGAGCTGTACATCTGCAGGGAGGATAGATTGAGGAGCTGTTATTAGAGAATAATGAAGTATGTGAATAATGTATATAAATCTTCTCAACCTGTGGGATTCAACTGTTGTTAATGAGCAAGTACACAAGTTTCGCTATTATTTAAAATAAATAAGTAAAAATAAATAAAAAACAGCTTTTGGAAAAAGCAATAATCAGGAACAGAGATTTAGAGAATCCGGAATTTATTCGCTTTCTTTGTCTTGTGTGTTTGCTCTCAAGCTCTTTTTCAAATTTGAAGTAACAGGAGGAAATCAGGAGAGCAAAAAAACTAGAGGGAAGGAATTTAACAATATTTCAATCCATTCTTGATTACTGCTATTACTGTTATTTTTATCATTTTAGTGAACTTATTATGATGCTGGTGCAGTTTCCTTTTAATTATTAACTGGAGTGTAAAATAAAGCTTTTTTAATATTTGTAAAAATATATGTTTTTTACAAATATGTTTATGTTTTGTTTTTAGTGAGGAAAAGACTGAACAGTTGTTGGATTGTAAGCAAGAATTTGAACAGAATGAAACTGAATTAAAGCGACTTCAACAAGAGGTTTGTGAATCATGGGTTAGACTGTTTTGTTGAAAAGAAGTGTAACTTGCTTGTGTTTATCAGTTCTATTTATGATGCATGTTTCAAGCAGTGGTTCATAGTTAAGCAGATTTCAACTAAATAACGGCCATAGGATCTTAAACTTAAAATCATAACGGCCATAGGATCTTAAACTTAAAATACACTTATATTGATTGACCAGTGTATTTGTTATTTTCTGGTCTTTTTGTTTTAGAAATCTTTTGTGAACTGTATTTCAATTTACGTTCAAGAAAGGAGGCATCTGTTGAATGCAGCTTCCATCCCCTTTTATTTATATCTTGGGAAGAATTTAGAAAAGAGTGACCTGACATTGTTCTATGCACATTCTTTTTGTCTGTAAACAGATTGTTCTCCCACGAGCTGCTCAGAGCATTCAGTAGTGGGAAGTGCTTCAGTCTCTGCTTATTTAGGCTGGGCTTAATTAGCGGAATGCTCCTCCTCCTCCACGGGACTCCTCCCCAGTGTTCCCCAGTTTTGGCTCAGCCTCGTGAGAGATAGGCAGTGCTCGTTAATCCTTGGCTGAAACAGGAGAATTCTCTTTAAGGTTTGCAGATAGTCAATGTCCTCTCCTTCTAACAATTGTTGTTTGACTTACCGACGCTGCCTTTGCCATCTGGCCGTCGGGATCGCATTATCAGGAAGCACTCCTTGCGCTCCTAAGCACAGGGAAGCTTCAATTTTGTTCCACCACCCCCAATCGCTAGCCCTATCCTTGCCATTACGATCACCGAGCCGTTTTAACATTTAAACAGCGTGGCTTTTTCTCTCTTGCTCTCTCCCGAGTCGTGTCACAGTTTCCCCCCCCCCGAAGAACACCGTTTAGGGGTGGAGGTGTAATCGCCTGGTTATTTTCACCCCTCCCAGCCGGTTTACCCTAAGGGAAAGCTGTTGGAGCTTATCCTTTTCTCGGTAGGAGATTGCTGCTGGCGCGCGCGCCACAAATAACGTCCGGTCGCCATTTTTTTTTTACTGTTAAAGGACCACGTGGCCACATTGAGTGCTAATTCAATAGACTGTATGAGGTAATCCTTATTTCAAGTTGAAGGTTTTTTTTTTACACAAAATACCCCGAGGTATCATTACAACCTCATTTCCAACCTATTCGAGGCCTTTGTTAATTCGTGTTGTTGGCTTAACCCTCACAGTTCTCCCTATCCAGCGGCACAACAGCGAGCATTTAGGCCAGCATTCGCCTGTACAGGGAAGCTGTTGAAGGCCTGTGAGTGATAATTTGGCCTGCTAGGCGTTCTCAATTTGGCTGATTGGGACATCCAAATATATTTGCATACCTATACACTCTGATAATATTAATAATACTAAGATAATCAAATTAATCATACCAATATAATAATACTAACAATTTCATAACAATAATAAATTATTATTGTTGACATACGACTCAATTTTGAAGCAGATATCCATATTTTTAAAAAAGGGGGGGATTTGATTTCAGGGCACCCTGTCCATTCTTGGCAAGGTCCCTGGGCACGCCAACCGCCTACACAATATAGCATTAAATAACGAGCGTGCTGTTCCTTCCACAATCAAAATGGCAGGGGGTAGTGGTTCACACACCTCAACTTCAAGGGGCAAGTCCAAATTTCAACACAATCCTAAGCAAAAAAAAGGGACTTCTAAGGCATCAGAAAAGGATGCCAACAGGCGCCACAAGGCACTGGAAAAACAAATAGATAAGTGCACACGCGAGGCACACAGGACCTCTCAAGCTTCCTTACCCCACAGTCCAGGGCCGTCCTCCACTTTCCTCCCTCCTACCCCTCTAGATCTCTCCCTCTCATCCAGGTGCAGCGTGGCTCCCCAGAGTCAACAGGCCCAGTTAGCTCAATCACCAACCATGCGAAGAATACCCGAAGCGATCTTCACACCAATGGCTGCCGGTCTTCGACAGGAACAATCTCTTCCAGACGATGTGCCAGAGCGAATGAAGACCTGGATGGAGATGGCTATCCGTCAGGGAATCGCAGCAGGCCTGTAACATGCGGTTCTGACCAGGGATCATCCTGCACCCGCTGAGTATGATTCTCAATCAGTTCGCTCATAGGCCAGGTCAGAGCAACACTATACCCAGGTACTGTTTCAAGGGGGTATGCTCCTACAGGAGCCGCAGGAGGAGGAGGCAGAAGAGGTGGAACACATTGAGCTGATGGACCAGAGTGAATCAGAATCAGTGCATGATACCGACCCGGCTGAGGATGAGGGCCTTGTTCCGGCCACAACTTTTCAAATCTCTATTGTTCAAGACCAAAAACACTGCGTGCCTGGACAAGCCGGCCCCTTCTATCATTCCAACTCTGTCAGACGAGGGACCAGAGGATCTCATCTTCACCCAACCTTTAATCGAGGCAGATGTGATTCCAGTCCCTCACATGTTTGCAGACCTGGTACAGAAACAGTGGGCTTCTGCAGCAGTATACATGGCCCCCACTGGTTACGACAGGAAATTCTTCAATTTGGCCCCAGATTTCTTAAAATTGTTGAATACTCCTGAGGTAGATGAACCCATTGTGCGATTAGCGTCCTCGTCCTCCATTCCCAGTGAGGCGCTGGAGGCATTAAAGCCAGAGGACAAACGGGCCGAGCTAGCCCTACGCAGGGCCCATCAGTCTGATGCATGGGCCATCAGAGCTGCCACGGCCGCTTCCTTCTTTGCCCGTTCTTCCCTTAGATGGCTCCGGCTATTACGGGAGCATGTCCCCAATTCTAACACTAGAGCACACCAAGACATTGCAAAGCTTATAGCAGCCGCTGAATTCTCAGCTGACGCAACCTTTCATGCAGTTAAGTTTTCAGCCAGAGCCATCACTTCACATGTCACAGCGCGACGCTTGCTATGGTTAAAGAATTGGCAAGCGGATATTAAACATAAATGCAAGCTCGCTTCATCTCCTCTAGCGGGAGACAGACTGTTTGGCCCTTCCCTCGATCTGCTACTCATCGAAACAAAAATAAAATTTTACCCTCTCTTTTTCAGAAGTCAGACCCTAGAAACCCTCAGTCCTTTCGGAGGGGATCCTTTCGGCCCTTTTATCAGGGACCGTTCTCAACCAGATACGAGAGACCCCCACCTTTCCGACCAGGGCAACAGCCAGAGAGGTCAGACTTTGGGGATAGGAACAGAAGGGGTGGCCAACCCAAGAAATCCTTCCAAGGAGCAGGAAATAGATTTTTCCGGCGTCCAAGATAACCCCATGGACCCGGCTCCTATCGGCGACAGCCTTAAATTATTCGCGGACCAATGGGACTCCTCAGCGTCTGTTTCCTGGGTCAGAGACACGATCAGATTCGGCCTCGTGTTGGAGTTTCAATCTGCTCCCCCAGACTTCTTTATGTCATGCCCTCTTTCCAGAGATCTGGTTAAATGAAATCTTATAGAAACAGCTATTCATCACCTACTGGACATACAAGCCATCCAACCAGTAGCTACCGACCAACGAGGGCAAGGTTTCTATTCTCATCTTTTCGTTGTTCCCAAAAGTTCAGGGGGATGGAGAGCAATCTTGGATTTGAAACGCCTTAATCAATTTTTAGTATATCGCAAATTTAAAATGCACACCCTGCAATCTATCTTACTTGGTATCAGAAAAGGTGACGTCCTTACATTCATAGATCTGACGGAGGCGTACTTACATATTCCAATTTGGCCTTCCCACTATAAATTTTTACGATTCTGTTATAATAATCTCCATTTTGAATATGTGGCTCTTCCTTTCAAACTAGCTTCTGCCCCCAGGTCCTTCACAAAGGTTCTCGCAGCCCTCGCTCATCTCCAGGGTGTCCCCATACGACTGCAGTGTTACCTCGATGATATCTTAATTTTGTCATCTTCTGTTCATCAATCAGTCACAGATACTCAGACTACATTACAATCCCTACAACTACATGGGTTCTCAAATCAATTGGGAAAAGAGTCATTTAACACCTTCGACTCGATTAATCCATCTTGGGGCAGTCATAGATACAGTGGAAGGCAAAGTTTTCCTGTCATCAGATAGACAAAACAGCATTCATCAATTAGTTAAGGAGATCAGGTTCATAGGAGGGTGTCCCTAGCTGATCTATCAAAATTGTTAGGCAAGATGATCTCGTGTATATCTATTATTCCTTGGGCCTGGCTCCACACTAGATCACTCCAGTGGTTCCTGCTCCCGTACCAGCGATCCAGCCGAAGCAACTACAAATAAAAGGTCAAAGTTCCATCACAGGTCCTCATATCTCTCTTCTGGTGGACCAGACCAGCCATAAACAAAGGTTGCCTATTCAAACAGCCCCACAGACTTACCATCACCACCAATGCCAGCCTGATTGGATGGGGAGCTCACTTTCAATCGCTCACAGCCCAAGGCTGCTGGTCTTCCATAGAACGGTCGTGCAGCATAAACTGGCTGGAGCTTCGAGCAGTACACCTGGCTCTCCGCAGCTTCCTTTCACAGGTATGCAACCAACACATTAATATTGACCGACAATGTAACCGCGAAAGCTCACATAAACAGGGGGGAACTCAGTCGAAACACCTCATGCGAGAAGCAGAGCGTTTGTGTCATTGGGCAGAGAGCAACCTGATTTCCATCAGAGCAGAACACATTTCAGGACTGTTGAATACACAGGCAGATTGGCTAAGCAGGGCCACGATAGTGGCTCCTCCATCCGACCCTCTTTTAAGAGGCAGTCAGCACATTTCGGCAGCCAGTGGTAGACCTGTTCACTTCCCCGCTCAACGCTCAGCTCCCGAGATTTCTTTCCAGATACCCCTCGCAAGGAGCGGAGAATTTCAATGTGCTCCATTGCCGTTGGCCCCTGGGGCTTCTGTGTGCATTCCCGCCACTTCCACTGATCCCCAAGGTCATCCAGAAGCTGCTCGATGAGAGGGCGGAGCTGCTTCTGGTAGCTCCCTACTGGCCCAGACGGTCGTGGTTTGCAGACCTCTGCAATCTATCTGTATCACCACCATGGATAATTCCGCCAGACAGGGTCTTGTTAGCCCAAGGACCCCTTCAACATCCGGACCGTCAATGGTTGCACCTGACCGTCTGGAGGTTGAGCGGAGTCGTCTGAAGAGCGAAAAGTTTTCCAACAGAGTTATTGCCATAATCCAAGCTGCCAGACACCCCTCAACAACTCGCATCTACAATGCCACGTGGTCCAGTTTCTGCAAATGGTGTATCAAGTCTCAAATTGATCCCATTTCTCCATCTGTGGCTCAGATCCTAGAGTTCTTACAAGAGGGGCTTGACGGGATTATCAGCTAATACGTTGAAAAGACAAGTGGCGGCCTTGGTGTCAGTCGTCACTTATGAAGGCCTCCTATCTCTTTCCCATAATCCACGCATACAGTGTTTCTTTCGAGGAGCCACAAACTTACGTCCACCAACGGTTCACCATTATTCCACTTAGGACCTTAACAAGGTCCTTCTTGCACTCACTAAGTGACCTTTCGAGCCTTTGCAATCGTCAAGTCTCCAATTTCTGACGTATAAAGTAGATTTTCTTGTAGCGATCACTTCCGCTCATCGTATTTCAGAACTGGCAGCCTTGTCAATCAGACAAGATCTTTGCGTCTTCCATTCCGAAAGGGTCGTCCTTCATCCCGATCCTACGTTCATACCCAAAGTTAATTCAGCCTTTCACAGGGCACAAGAACTGATACTTCCTAATTTTTGTCCCAGGCCATCCCAAGGGCTAGAATGACAATGGCATTGGCTGGACGTGAGGCGAGTGTTACGAATATCTATTCACTGCACAGCCTCTTTTAGAAAAACGGAGGCTTTATTTGTGTCTTTTCAGCCCAACAATCAGGGATGCAAGGTCTCATCCTCCACAATAGGCCGTTGGCTATGGGCCGCAATAGCGAAAACGTATCAGATTCAAGCACTTCAGGTTCCCAGGGGCATAACAGCTCATTCAACAAGGAGCGCCGCAACATCGGCAGCATGGGCCACGCAGGCACCAATCACTGACATCTGTCATGCAACCTGGGCCTCTCCATCACCTTTCATTAGGCATTATAAAATAGATGTGTTTGCATCAGCCAAGGCCTCCTTTGGCAGAAGGGTTCTGCAACGGGTCCACAGGGACCAGGAGGGGATCCCAAGACAGACGGAGTCCCTTCTGTAGGACAGACCAAGCCTTGGTATGTCCCACTACTGGATGTTCTGAGCAGCTTGTGGGAGAAAGGGCGTTGGTACTTACCTGACACGCCCGTTCTCTTTGAGTTGCAAAGAGCATCCAGCCCCACCCTCTTCCATCTGGTGGGATCCTGTTTCGGCCAATGAATTTTTACAGTATTAAGGGTGAGGGTGTTTGTTTCTCTTGTCTTCGCCAAAACTGGGGAACTCTGGGGAGGAGTCCCATGGAGGAGGAGGAGCGTTCCGCAAATTAAGCCCAGCCCAAACAAGCAGACTGAAGCACCTCCCACTACTGGATGCTCTTCACAGCTCAAAGAGAATGGGCGTGTCAGGTAAGTACCAACGCCCTTTTTCTATGTTATATTTTTCCTCATTATCAGAACTAAAATAATATTTTAAGAGTAAATATATTCAAATTCTAAAAGAAAACATTCCAATTTATTAAATATTTGAACTGCCCAATTCAAAAAGCAGATAATATAACTAAATGAATAATACCTTAAGGAAAAAATAATTTTCAACATTATATAAGTTGTTTATATTTAATAACTACCAATCTTTTTTCATCATAAGTATGAATTTTTATTTATTTGTTTGTCATATTTAAGAACTACCCATCTCCCTTACAGAGACTGTGGGAATTAGGGTTCCTGGTTATAGAGTTTCTATGAAATTTATTCTATAAAATAAAATCAATGCTCAACATATCAATATTAATGATCTTGAAAAGATGGTTACAAAAATGAATGCAATGATGGTGTTGTTAGAAAGAAAAATTCTTATACAAATCCACATATAAATTGTGCTACTTATTGATTTTGTATTCTGAATAAATGCTAATGTTTACTAGTTTCCCTTTTCCATGCACACTAATGTCTGTGTGATTTCATGTTAAAAGAGATAATATTATTCTTGCCTTCTCTTTTGCCTTCTGCCTTCTTACCTTTTTCATAAACACTAAATATATATTTCAATTGATTTGCTAGAATATGAGTTTACTTTCGGATGCCCGATCTGCCAGAGTGTATCGGGATGAACTTGATGTTCTCAGAGAGAAGGCAATTCGGGTTGACAAGCTTGAAAGTGAACTCAGCCGATATAAAGAAAGACTACATGATATTGAATTCTACAAGGCTAGAATAGAGGTAATTAGAAATGTTTTTGTTAAATGTATGTTTATTTTTTTACTGATTATGTTTCTTACATGAATCAAAGTATTATTTGATTAAATTCTGTGTTTGTGTTGATCTTGTTTTATGTTACAGTCTAAAAATATGCATCCTCCTATTAGTAAAGAAAGGAGGAAGGGGAAAAAGAAAAAATGTAAAAAAGAAGAAAAGCAGAAAAAATGTAGGAAAAAATAGCTTCTCCCGTCATTAAGACAAGTACAAGCATTTTCAATAACTGAACACCTTCTCTAATATTTCAATCAAAGGTCTAATTTTATATTTGTTCTTTTATCTATGAGCAGATAGAGCCTTCATTCAATTTTAATCAGAAAAAGTCAGTTTTAACAATGGACTATCAGAAATAATAATGCATATATTTTAACTTTAAAAAAATGAAACAATTTCATATTTCCTTCCTGACAGTACCTTGTCATTTTCTCAAAAAGTATGAAGCAAAAAATTATTCTTGCCATATTTTATTTGTTTATGTCTATAAAACAAATCTTTTAAAACTTCATTATTTAATCAAGAAAAACTCCAGTAGGAGCTACCAGATGAAGCTTATTAAAAATTTTAATCCTTAAATTCTTCAAATGATATCCCACAAATTAATTCATTTCTTTTTTATCTGCTCTCAATATTAATACTATAGCTTATTACTTTCTTTAAAAAAGGAAGAAAAACTTTTCTTCCCATGTCTTATCTATAAACAAATGTTCAAAGCATCATCATGCTAATCAAGAAAAACCTATTAATATCAGAAAAAAAGAATAATGTATATTTTACCTTGATCAAATAAGCTAACATAAGCTAATACATAAGATTTTGAAGTTTATACCTTTTAGATACTATCCTAAAACCTGATTTCTTTCTCTTTTTTTCCCTCAGGAATTCATTCATAAATATAATGTATCTCTTTGTAAATCCAAAGAAATTTGTCCAAGTCACTTTTTTGTGTCATCGTCATGGGCATGTGATAAACATTCAGGCACATGGCAACTGAATCATTTGTGATGGTTGCATTGTCCTTGGGTCATTCGATCCCCTATTGCAATCTTCTTACTAGCAATGGGGAAGCCAGATTCACTTAAGAACTCAGTTAGTAACTTAAACAAGTGCGGTGATTCACTTAACAAACTGTGGCTAGAAAAGTCATAAAATGGGACAAAGTTAGTTTAACAAATATCTCATGTAGAACAGTAATTTTGGGTTCAATTGTGGTCGTAAGTTGAAGACTATCCATATTATTCTTGGGTCCGGTTAATTTTAAATCCATAACCAAAACAGTTGTATCCTGTTCTATCTCTTTTAAGCTTATTTTTATTATATAAAACAATCTAAAGAGAAAGTTCTGGGTACATTGTTGTCATATATTCTTGAATTCTTCCAGAGTTAAAATACTTTTCTCCTTTCTGTATTAATGACTCTTCTCCTTTTTTATAATCCTTAGCTATTTCTGGTGACATCTATTAACCAGCCTTCAAGGTCTTATCATGCTTTTGTCTCAGCACATTTTCCCAGGAAGAGATTTCTTGCATTTAAACTAAAAATCTTCATATATTTTAATAATACTTTAAACAAACTACAGGATGCAGTCTTATAAATAGTTTAAAATCGTATTTCCAGGTCCCTTAATCTCTTTAAAAGCATTCCAAAATTGACATTCTAATCACCCTTTTGCTGCTTATTCCAAATAAAAAAGCTTTTCTTTAAGTTTTAAATTTACATAAAACATCTTTCTCTGCAGAATGAAGAAAAATCACTGGTGTAATGAAACTTGTCGTTATGAAGAGTCTTAATATTCAAAAATAATTTATGTACAAGCCATTTCCAGTAAAGGTGATTAAGACAGGAAGTCGGCAAAACTAGCATCCTTTTGCAGACTCCAAACCACTGCTTGGACAAAGTTGACTCGCTTGGCTTTCAGAGCTCTAAAACCTGCTGGAGACCATAGTTTTATAGTCTTATCACAAGGAGCACCTATAAGGAGCATTTGGGGCAATCCCAAATTCTCCCCTTGATCTGGAGAGTTCCAGAAGTCAATTCATTTACTTGCTCCACTTTCTGCCACAGTCATCAACTCTGCTAAAAGTGTTGTGGTTTTCAGTCCATTACTTCCCCAGAGGTCAACTATAAATCAGATTTCAAAAGCTAATGTTAATATTCATGCATTTATAGCAGGGAACATTTTGTACCTTTGTTCTATAGTTATTATCAATTACTTTCTACATTTTCTTATTCATTTATTTACTTGTGGGAACTTTTCAATTTTTAAATATGGTTCTCTAAAATCCAAAAAGTATTGGATTAGTTTTGCCTCCAGATTTAGAATTATGTGCTTAGTATTTTATTCTGTCACATGTATTTTTCTTAAATAGTTACATTAATTTATGTAAAATATAACACCATTTTGTTTGGTGTGTGCTGTTTTAATTTTTTTTAAACTACTTTGTTTCTTATTTTATTGTCAGTTTCTCACATATTTCTCACTTATTACTGTAGGAGCTAAAAGAAGATAATCAAGTATTACTGGAAACAAAGACAATGTTGGAAGATCAGTTAGAAGGAACCCGAGCCCGTTCTGATAAATTGCATGAATTGGAAAAGGAGAATCTGCAATTAAAAGCTAAACTCCACGATATGGAGATGGTGAGCATACAGGATGGGATAGAAAAAGTCATTTTTTAAGAACAAAATTACAGCTTGTCTTCAATTGCCAATGGTATTTGGGACTGGGAACTCCATCACTAAGCAATGGGATCATAACACATGCCATCGTTTACTGCACCAACTTATGATAGCAGTTCCCACAGTTTGGGTTGTTATTGTTAGCCAATCTTGTGCAATTGCAGTGCTCCGTGGTCCTGTGACTTCCTGCTGGCTTCCCCATTGACTTTGCTTGTTGGAAGCCAGAAGTAAAAGTTGCAAATAGTGATCACAAGATTGTGGTATGCTGTGAATTTGTAATTGTGACCTAGTTGTCAACCACCTGAATGGCAATCACATGACTGCAGGAATGCTGCAACAGTCACAATTAAAAGATTTGTTGTAGGTTGGCTTTGTTCAGGCTGGGTAGTCTTCAGCCTTGTTGCTCTACAGATCGAGTTGAATTCTGAGGACATGCCCCTCTGACCCCTGGTAACAGTCCCCAGTTCTCGGTCTCAACTCATTCAGACCACCCTAAAAGGGCTCTGAATTATTTGAGTTTGTTGAAGAATTATTTTACTCCCTGGATTCTCTTTGTCGTTTAGATTTGCAGAAAGGTTTGACAGCTGTCCAGCTTTGTTGGCTCAGCCACCTTTTGTTTTTCGCACCCTTTTTATTTTCGCGCTTTTTAATTTTCCTTTTTAAAACTTCCCTGGAATTTCTCTTCTTCCCCCAAGAGCCTTTATGTGCTACCCCGTCTCCAGGAACTTGGCAATGAGAGGGCCCTCATGGAATCAGCAATCCAGCATTTGCTGGATATCCATGCCATCCAACCGGTTCCAGGGCACCAGAGGGGACCGGGGTTTTATTCAATTTTGTTTGTCATCCCAAAGGCCTCGGGGGGTGGGGGTGGCGAGCAATTCTCAACCTAAAGGGGCTCAACAGGCATCTGATATACAGAAGATTCAAGATGCACTCCCTCCATTCAATTTTCGTGGGAATTCGGGAGGGAGACTTTTTGACTTCAGTAGACCTGATGGAGGCTTACCTCCATGTGCCCATCTATCCAGACCATCGCCAATTTCTGAGGTTTTGTTATTGACCTTCTGACAAGCAAAATTAATGGGGAAACCAGATTTACTTAACAACCATGTTACTAAATTAACAACTGCAGTGATTCACTTAACAACTTTGGAAAGAAAGGTCGTAAAATGGGGCAAAACACATTTAACAAATGTCTCACTGAACAACAGAAATGTTGGGCTCCATTGTGGTCTTAAGTTGAAAACTATATAAGCTTTGTATGTATGTATTTGATTTAATTACAGTATGTTGTTTTTGTGCTGCTGATAACTTAATGTAGTTTCATTAATAAAGTAGAAGAGAGGAGGTTTTAAAGAAAATTTATATGAAACTATGTTTAAGGAACGTGATATGGATCGGAAAAAAATTGAGGAACTTATGGAAGAAAATATGTCACTAGAAATGGCTCAGAAGCAAAGTATGGATGAATCACTACATTTGGGCTGGGAACTTGAACAGATAAACAGATCATCAGAAATTTGTGAAGGTAGATAAAGTTATACTTATTTGTTGTCCAGATAGTATATGTGCAGTTTAACATTCAGATTCTTTAAAGACTGGTTCAAATATTTGTCAGTTTTCTTTCAGGGGACCCAAATGCATAGCTATCCAGACTGGTTCATTCCAAGGAATACTTGCTACTTGCTAGTTTTAGTTGTTATTAGCATTTTTTATTTTATTTATTATTTTCAATTTTTATATCTGTCTCTATCTTGAGCAAATACCTCTAAACAATATTTTTTCAAATGTGGAATTCATCCAAGAAGGTAGATGTAGCCAATCTCACAGCAAATTAAATGAAGCATCCAATTGTACATTATTGATCTTGTTTACGTTGTAAAGTTATTTTTGAAAATAATGCATTATCAAAAAATGAGAAATGTCTCAGATTGGCTCTAATTTTTACTGTATATATTTTGACCTCCATGTTGTCATGTTTTAAGAGTAGAATAATTCATATATTTTACTACACAAATAATCTTAGATTTAAGCAAAATTCTGTGAATTCTTGATTTTGTATAAACTTGCAGCTTCAGACTTCAGACTATCAGTAGATTGTCTCATATTAATATTTATGATTCAGGGTAATCTTCATAATTATATTTTTATTAATAAAAAGTTGTGATGCTTGGTCCATACTAATGAGATTTAATTTCAGGTTGGGAAAATGTTTATTAAAGTAATTATTTAGGTTTAGTATTTATATTTGTTTTTCAAAAAAGAAAACAGTAGCTGAAGTTCTTTTCTTTTCTTTATACAGTTGTGTCCTTTTCTAATTATATATTAGAAATAGTTTAGATAACAGAAGGGCAATTTATCCTTTTTACCTTCCATTTTAACAGTGCCACAGAAGTCACTTGGTCATGAAGTGAATGAACTAACATCTAGTAGATTATTAAAACTAGAAATGGAAAACCAAACTTTATTAAAAACAGTAGAAGAATTACAAAATGCAATGGGTTCCGTAGAAGGCAATAACTCGAAACTAATGAAAATGGAAAGAGAAAATCAAAGGCTAAGTAAAAAGGTAGCAGCTATTTTATGATTCTGTGAGAAAGATGTTATATACAAATGATATTTTATAAATTTAGCTTTTATCAATGTATCAAAAGAACAGTGCTGCTACTATAAACTTAACTGCATCTACCCTTTTCTGTTTATTTCATTGTGCATAACAATATTCTAGTCAGGAGAAATCTGGTCAATTTTATTAGATGTTTTAGTGGAATAATATTTCATTTTAGGGTGGGGGGTTAGTATAGATTTTTTTGTAAGCAAATGGCATTCATTAGGACTTTCTGTTAATATGTAATTTTGGAGAGGAAATAGAGAAGGAAGAGAACGCATGGGGTGGGCAGGTGAATGAATGAAAGTGAAGGTAAATAACAGAATCTGTGAATATTTGTTGTGATAGACGTTTATAAGGACTGAATACTAAAAAGGCCGCAAGGTGAATGAGAGAGAAATTAAAAGTGAGATATTGATAAATAAAGCCCCAGTCGTCGATTTTAATCCTTGTGGGCACTGTAGCTCTGGTCCTGTTGTCCTAATCTCTCTCTTTAAAGTTCTCTTTTTAATGTAATTTAATTTAATTTAATCTTTTTTCTACATCTAAGGGAAAAAAGTATAATTTTGAAGCAGAAAAACAAATATAAGCATATTTGCTTTTTTCCTATATTAAATTTTAATGTGATAATAAAAATACAAAATATTTTATGTAAAGCAATCCTTTATGTGTTTATGTTTTTTTAAGCAGTATATATTGAAACATTTGGTACTTTCTGTTGGAGGACTCCTTGAAGAAGAAATAACCTATGGCACAAAATCTTAGATGCAGTTTTTCTTTTATTAAAATTTCATTTCTGATAGGCTTTTGATATAGGAAAATGTTATTTAATCTGTTCCTTCAAAAAGCATATACACCTGCATTTTATTAAATCAAAATTTAAATTTGATGAATATCCCTACAGCTGGAAGGACTTAAGAATGAATTTACTGAAGAGAAACAGAGTCATCAGAGTAGTCAGAATCTTTGCAAAGATCTTATGAAAGAGAAAGCACAGCTTGAAAAAACGATCGAAACTTTGAGAGAAAATTCAGAAAGACAGGTAATATACATAGATACTTGTTTTATTGTGGTTTCTGCATTTAAATAATAAGGATTATATTCACTGGTGTTTTGATTAAATGTTCTTAATCTAAAAAAAACTGCCATAAGTAGAAGAGAATGATTTTTGTACAGCTTCTTTTCTGTATAATATCAGCAATCAACACCATTCTGTATTTTCAGAATTTAAGAACAAAAACAAATATTATCCTCCAAGCCTCACAATATTGCAAAATTTTCTAAGATTATGGCAAACTCAATTCTGAAATGTCATGAATGATTAGAATTCTTGAGATTTCTTTCATATTAAAAAAAATCCTTAAAATAATTTGAGAGAGCTTTGGATTATAAATACCACTAGCTGTTGCACTTCAATCCTGTATACTATAATTGTCAAGAAATCAGCAGATATTCCATTGGTCTTAGATTTCCATAAGCAATATTAATTATATATTTTAGAATATTATATAAAATAATTGAATATTGATCTAGTTTTCCTACTAGAAAACTAGAAATTCATATGGTTTTTATATGAATAGTTCTCATTTCTTTTTATTATTTATATGTCTTTGTGTTAAAATCCCAAATGTCAGTTTCCTGAGAACTAGCCTTTTCCATACAATATACAGGAATGCAGGAGACAGAAACCATATGAATTAATGATTAGCCTTTCAGTGAGCCAGCAACCCTTCTCGTTGATATCAGATTAACTAGAATACATGTATATTCTTTGAAGAAACAAATGTTTAAATTTGTTCTAAAGTGGGAGGCAATCTGTCCAGAAAATTTGCTCACTATCCCTAAAGTGTGTAACTGTTGGGTTTTCCTTCAAAGAGAATAGTTCAAGCCTTTTTTCTTGACTAATTCAAGAAATAAT